ACAAGTTTGTCATTATTCTTAACCATTACCGTTGCACTGGTACATCAGTCAAAGAAAATACATCTTGAAGAGAGATAAGCATGACATTATTATTAATCATTACCGTTGCATTCGTCCATTAGTCAATAATATATTTGTCTTTAAAATAGCTGTTAATGTTTGAAGTGATCTAAACTCCTCATGGCAAGCAGATCAGCGTTGTCGTTCCCAGTTGTAATAATACTTAATATTTTCTGCTTACCGTGATTTGTGGGACTTTTATCGTTTTCCCGTCTTGAGTCATATCGTCAATATTTAATCTTATATTATTGGTAGTTAGTTTTGTAGGCCCCATGAGTATTTCTTCTCATTTATACTTGATAACAGATAATTAACAGAAGAAACTGTTTTGCACTCAAAACACCATAACATTGTGTATAAAAAAAATAATTCAAATTCATTTTATTGTCTAGTATAATTCTAAGATGCAACGACATTTTTAAGGTTAAGCATAGCGTAATGATTAGTTAATTATGACATGGAAGTACGCAAGAAATATCCTTACTCACATAATGTCGTACATTGTTTTACTTGTGTTCTAAGTTTCTTTTCACGGATCTAAAAATTTGCTTTTATCAGGAATCACTAATTAGCTCTAAAATCTTTGTTTCGGTCAGGTACACAGTTAGACAAAGAAGATGCTACATTATCTTCTAAAAAAAAAACACATTTAGTAAACAACATACTAATTGTTTCTGGCAACAACCAAAACACCCACAACGACATTTTGAGTTCGTGGGTGGAAAACTACAACAACGAACAGCCTCACCCCTTCACGTTTGTCTCAAGCTCGATGTCATACAACCCAGACAGGAAAAGAAGGGAGCGCGCTATTAGAAAATAAACAACTCACACTAACCCTCTGTTATGCACGAAACACAGTCAAGAATATTACTGGCGGAACTTCACAGTATATGTGCACGTAGATTCAACACGTTGGAGAAAGCTCTTTAATTTTGATATAGGGTCTCTTTACAGACCAACAGTATTAATATATAAACTCTAAAGTGTAACAATTAAAAAAAAACACTTGAGGTGTTAATCAAGTGAAATATTAAGCCTACACTAAGTGATAATATCAGGACGCCACCTCAATCGACTGAACCCTCATTTCGCCGCTATAATAGCCTGGACACAAATATAATGTCTTCCTTGATTGTATAGCAACCTATTCGGCAAGTATGGTCTCCAATTGATATTGGCAAAATATCACTTTGGCAAATGCTTTATATGCATTCAAGTTCGTCCGAATGATTTGGTCAAAAGGTGAGTAGCTGCAAATGTTTTGTTATAGCCGAATAAACACATCAAATATGAAGTAATTCTTTACACATTTGTTTTCTGTCTCAGACAGCCCGCAACTGTAACTCTCCCTTACGGTTTTCTAACTCTTTGAACAGACAAGTTATAAAAACAGTGTGCATATTTAAGTACATATAAGGTGCACACGAAATGTTCTGTGGTTGCAGTCTGAACACTACAAGTAGCTGACAAAGTAGTGGAATTGAATCAAGGTTACAGAGCGAAACGCGTTTAGATAAAGATAGCACGAAACATATTTCGGGAGTCTTTATTTCATAAAACGAACATTAACCACCGCAAACATTTCTGAATATATATATATATATATATACTGAGTTAGTCTCTTGGTCAGCCGAACTCTTACTTAAACACTGCTAAGAAATCCACTTATGTTGATAAAAAATACCACGTATGTACATGGTATACAAGTTACAAAAAAATCACCCTTTATTCAGCTCTATCCCTGTGTCATACAAGACAGGAAGACGTCGGGGCAGTGACCAAGGGTTTAACTATTTAAGGTTCACCAGCCCCACGAGAATAGTAAGACTGGTTAGGACTAAAAATAGGCGACATTCCTAAGATAGTGGGTGGTGTGAAGATGTCATTAGTGATAAGTAGATTTCTAAAAACAGTCAAAGATCAGGACCATGAGTGAAGAC